GTGTGTGTTTGTGCATGTGTTTGTTGCTTTGTTTGTGTTCTTCTTTGTGTTTCTCTTTGCGTCTTTGCGCTTGAGCCTTTCTCTGTGTGTGTGTGCGCGTATTGTTTGCGCGTGTGTGTGTGCTTTCTTTCTGCGTGTTTTGTGCTTGTTTGTTTGCCTGTTTGCTTGCTTGCTTGCATGTTTGTGTGTGTGTGTGTGTTTGCCTGTGTGTGTTGTTTGTGTGTCTGTTTGTGTCTATGTACGTTCTTCTGTGAGTGCGTGTGTGTGTGCATGTGTGTGTGTGCTGGTTTGGCGAGTGTGTTGTTTGACCTTGCAAGTTGCAAGTTGGCTTGTGTTTTTGCTCGTTTGTGTGCGTTGTGGTCCTCAATTTCAACCAGCTGATTTCCCGTCACGTGCTAGCCACAACAGGCTCCTTCAAGAAACCTTTACTTGACAAGGGTTCGGATTCTCGAAATCAGCAGGTTTGGTGGTGGGCTTTTACTGGTCCAAATTTGTATCCAAGGGACCAGCCAACCTTGCAGATTTGATTGGGCCGCTTCGATGTGACCTGAGAGACTAGAAAGCTAAAAACGAACTTGCAATGTTGAGCAGTTCTTCGGCGCGAGCCCTCTCAGCAGTCGATGCTTCGCTGGTGTTGAGCCAGCGCTGCGCAAGTCATGCTCCCACTTTCCAGCGAACAGTCCGGATCTTGTTTCACCCAGGAAACATACCAGTTACACCCTCTCGCGGAACTTGTGCATGAGCCATTGCTAGGGGCTCCGACTTTTTCAGGCATCACCCGGTTTGTATGGCTGTTCCTTGGAAAGTCCACCAAAGGCCCTTGCCCACACCGATGGCCCGTCGAGACAAAAGCTGCAGGTGATGCGTGGCGAGATCGCGATCACGAAGGCCGTGCCTCTCGTTGTGTGCTTCCAGGAAAAGCAAGGGGCATGGCTGCGGACAGTTGGGTGGTTTTAGGGCCACTTTATGCTCACTTTCCCAACGCCGACCTTTTGACCTGTTAGTTTCCCCTTGTTTGTCCGTTTTCAGTCATGGCCCAAAAGTTTTATATAACCCTTTCTGTCTGAGTCCTTTGGGCAACTGAGTTTAGAACACCAAGGGGCCCCAAGGGGATTCCCTTGAAAGTGATGACAGAGTCATGGGACTCTACCACTTTAGTATCATAGACAGGGTGAATTGCCACAGCGGTGAAGTTTTCCGCTATGTGCAGGTACTCCTGCAACAGGTTTGGTTGTCCATACATTCGGGAAGGCCAAGAGAAATTTCCCTCCAGCGCGGTTTCAACCGACTTGGTTCGCAATGCCGATGTCTGCCTGGATCAAAAGGAAATAAAGTTTCTTGGCCAGCAAGGTCATCTCGTAACGGCTGTCAACGGTTTGAGTGTCATGGTGGTTTGTGCCTTTTGCCTTTTGCATAGTCATCTGTCGTGAAGATGCCACAGTTGGCAGGTGCTTTTGTCGCCTTTGTGGTGCAACTTGACACTCCATTTTCCCTGGCGCTCCCGCCGAGCCAAAGCCCTGTTGGCCATGTTAGTAGGTGCCTCCACTCTGCTTCATGGGGAGATTTTTCTTGAGGGCCATATGAACTTGTGGTTTCTCACATTGGTAGAACCAAAAGTTTGCTTCTACCACAGTTAACAAGCACAAGTTTCAATCACCACTTCGGGTTTTGGGCAATACTCACAAACAAGTCAAATTGCTTCTACGGCTGGTCCAACTCTTGGAGTTCATGGCCTTACGATGGTTGCCGTTTCTAGGGTGACCAGTTAGATCGCCAGGCGGTCTTCCTCCTTGTCATCCAAGATCGCCAGGTTCAGGAGCGCTGCGCTGAGTATGAATCATTGGTGATTTCAAGGGGGTAGATGAAGGATAGGAGAAGTCTCCAACAACAGTCGAGATACTGCCTAAACATTCCTTTTGACTCTTGGGATGATTCCTCTCGCCGGAAAGTTTTTCTTTTTCAAGGAGGCTCTTCGTTTTTGAACAGTTGTCCACCCACCTCACTTTGATCCACCTTGCAAATACCATGGTTGCAATTTGTCAAATTTCAGAATCACCTTCAGATCCAAAATCAATCCTGGCAGATGGTAGTGATTTCCCTCGTAGTCGTGTCCCATCAGAATTGCGGGTTAGGGATCCGATCCCCCATTTGAACCTAGCACAGGGTCCTTAAAGGATACATTTTGGCCAGTCAGAAAAATCCTTTACCTGCTGATTTAGAGGATCGCCTTGTAAAGGAGGTGGTTTTTGGATGTATCACTGAAGGAATCCGGGCATAACTCAGGGCTCTTTCGCAAGGAGCTGATGGATGACTTGGATCTGCCTCCAGATCGAGCAAACCTCTTTGAGGCAGGTTTTTTTTTGCGGCGAATCCAGGTGTGCCTGCGCTATTGCAGAACCTTGTGCCTATCGAATGTTTGTATCTATAGTCCCTCAGAAACTGCAGGAATGAATAAGATTCACAATCTGAAGCATATTTCTCTAGTAGTGAAACAGAAGGTTGTTTGATTCTGACGGCATCGGAAGTTAGGTGATCATTGCTTGTTGGCTCGATGCATAATTGGAGAAACGTGTCACTCTAGTATGAAGAGAAAATGTCGACAGCCTGCTGTTTGGCCATGTGATATCTCCCTTGCCTCTTGAATCTCTTGGCGTCTCTTCACCCTCGGCATCATGTTGTGGGACACTGAATTTGATGAGGAAAATATACCCTCTCATCCACGAACATAGAACCCAGCAGAGGGTCCCCCAGTCAGGTTTTATTTTAGTGGGATACATGATTCCACTGTCCAGGTCATTGATGCCGACGGCAGCGGCACACTGCATGTGACCGAGCTTGTGCAAGGAGACTTTGGGTGCTCATCTGTTTTCACGACGTCAGTTTGACTGCCTGCGTGCAATTGGTTGTTGTTAGCTTGTCAGTTGGACTTATGCTGAAACTGATTTCAACCAGTCCGACTCATTGTACGCGACGCCTACTTTACGATCCGAGGGTTGGCCCTGAGGCGATTGTGCAAGTGCGCAGCTTTCAGAATTGCAGCTTGCTTCCACACGGCTGAGGCCATTTGGGAGTGACCTGGTATTGGCCAGCTGAGCAACATGCGATGTGGCATGCTTCGTGAGATTGCTTGTCTACTCTCGTCAGATGGAAACGAAGATCCGTTTGTGGAGCTTGATTGTGTTTTATGTGTTCATGCTACCGCATTGTTTGGACATGCAAGGGAACCCCCCTCCTTGCGTTTCAACATATTTGAGCCCCTTTTAACCCCTCCCCTTTATGTTTAAACGGCATACGCGTGCCTCCAAGCATCTTTGATTTCCCCCAACCCCCCCCCCCCCAAGCCAGTGACGCCTCCCCTCCCAGCCCCTTCCCCCCCTTTCGGAGCGTTCCGAACCCCGTGAGGACTTCTGAAGGTCCGCGGGGAGCTGAAGAAGTCCGACGCCGTCGCCGCGCTGCTGGCCACCCAGGCCTTGCAGTCCATGGTGGCCGCGCCTCGGGCCTCCATTGGAATCGATGCCTCGGGGAGTTGGGGCTTTGGTTTTGGTTTTGGTTTTGAGGCCGTTGCGTCGATTTGATTTCGTCATCGGCAACCAAGGCACTTGAAGTTTGAGGCTTTCCCAAGTTATGGGGAGGATTTTTCTGTGTCAGAGAAGTTGTTTACGGATTAACTGATCCGAAACCAGCGAACCACAGGGGTAGGCGCATGGTATTGGGTCCAACGTTCTATCCTTGTGGTCTTTGGAGAAAGCTGAACTTCTCGCAGGTTTCACAGATTCGTAAAGCGGCCTGGTGGACGCCGGCGTAAGGTTTGGTGTGGCCATGTCTGACTCCGTTTCCCTTGGCGGTTTCGAGGCAATTGCTACCCTTCGCAGCTTAGTGCATGTCCTGTGCAGTGACACAGTCTTGTCCTGTTCCCAATCCGATACTGGTTGTCATATGTGTTGTGGAGTGGCACTCTTTGCTACTTTCATCCGGTGTTTGGATCATGCAATGCCGTTTGCAGAAACCTGGCATCAAAAAGAGGAAGCGCTGCCCAGCAATGGGAGTTTTGTTTGCCTGCCACAGATGGTCCTGTGTGCTCTGAGCCTTCCGTGCTTAGGAGTTGAAGGAGGAGCAAGTGAGGCTTACAGCGGCTGTTACGACTGTTACGAAAATGAGAGAGCGGAAGTGAGAATTGTGCTCAAAGGATCCGCTGGAAGATTCCAGCCTCAGGAGAATCTGAACCCATCTGAACCCACAACTCAGAGACTCAATCCTTTGCGTTTCTTCGAGCCCACTGATGTGGTTGGAAGCCCTGAAGTGGAAGATCACACCTTAAGGCCTCGGCTGCCGTGGAAGCCAGGCAACCCTGAAATGATCCATGTCCGAAGCCATCGGCTTGGTAGTGGCAAAAACCTTCGACTTGATTTGCTTGGCTTCTGCTGCGCGTTCGCGCAACTTTGTGGCGCAAGATGCCTGCATCTCTCCTCATGTCCAAGACATGGGATCTCAGCGAGTGCATTCTATGATTTGCGGGGCACGTTGCAAAGACGGGTGGCAATGAAACAACGCTGAACTCTCTGTAAGGGATTCTTGCGAGCGGCCTGAAATGTCACGGTAATCCAGCTCCCTTCAATTTCCCTACTGGAAGAATCGCCGTTGCGGGCAATCTACTATCCGGTTAACCCCCAGGTTTGACCTAACCCTCCAAACGTGTTCAATTGAGCTTCTCTCAGCCAGGCTTGTGTAAGGGCCATTCGGTCAAACTCTGCATAAAATGCGAGCTACCGGCAACATGTTTATTCCTTACGTGAAACCCTCAACAGGTAACCTGCTTCATTCATGTATGAATGGTCGCCTGTTTGTTGATCGTTCTCGTTTTGCTCGGCGGCCAGGGCCATTGCATGAGATGCGGCGTCATGAAAAACCAATGCCTTTTGATAGCCAAATTGCTCGAAAAGGCCGCACCCAATTGAATGCGCGCCTCGCACAAATCGAGCGCTCAATCAGAGCGGTGCAAAGGGTGCTGAGTCAAAATGAGAGCTGTGCTGGTGATGGGGCTTGGGGAACATTTAGTGCGTTTTTGTGCTTCGGTTTTGACATCTCACAAAGACCTTGCGAAGGCCGGAAGGCAGTTTCCGATGGTTCAGCCTGAAAATCGGAGGCTCAACCTGGGCCACCGCTGGTTTTCCAACAAGTGAGGAAGGATTAGGGCCGATAACATGAGGTTTGCTCATTTGCACTGCTGGCAGCAAACCAACGTCCACGTATGTGAAGTGGCTCAAAAACATCTCGATGTTGTGCTGCGTGTCCAGTCACACCTGTTCGCCTCGCGCTGTTATTTGACTTGAGAGGTGGGTGACTAGTTTTGTGATTGGAATCCTCAAGAAACATTACAGTCAGAACCGGTTCATCTGGAAAGATCTCATGGAACATGATCCTTCCATGCGGCTGCCTCGGTGTTTGCTGGATGCTAAGTTGCATAATATTATTTGGGCAGATCATGGCACACACAGTCAAGGCCAGTAGTCTTATGTTGTTCTTGCTTTAGACGGTGACTAAAACATGCTAATCCGAACTCCGAAGCCAGGGTTGGACGCAATCCCCTACGTGAGTTTGACAGGCAAAGCAAATGCTGAATGTGCCTTGCTGCTAAGCCAGAGTTTTCAAGCCAGATTCGCGCAGTCTTGGTGAGCATTCTGGAATTTAGAAGCTCGCCAGAGTCAACATGGAGAAATAGATACCTTTGGGACCACTCACCCATTTCCTATGCGCCGATCTCCCTCAGACCGGATGCCAGGACGGACAACTGCCAGGTCGTTTCCCGAGGCGAAAAGCACGGAAGCCCGAAATGGCGTCGCCGCTCGCGATCTACCGGGCGACGGCCGACTTCATGAACATGGCCTCGTATGAGCGAAGCGCATTAAAACACCTTTAATTTATGGTGACTTTGTTTTCGGCGCTTTCTACAAGTTGAGGCGCTGGTTGGATACAATGTTCGAGCCCATGCCGAGAGGATGGCGGTTGGTGGTCCTATCAGACAAGAAAGTTGCTCATGAACAGTTTTGAACTTGACTCGGCGCGCAACTTACTGTCAAATAGTTGTGTCAATTTCACAGTAGCCACCATGAGATAGTCTGGCATTCAATCACCGAAGCTGCCTGGTTAGAAACTTGCTTTCGCCATGTCTACCAAGAACGTTGCACCTGTGTTGTGTTTGCACTCCACGTGTATGGAACTCTTGTTGGGGGATTGGATTGCCGTGACCCTCGCAGACCACTCACGTGTCCAGGTTTTTATGGTTGCTGCCAGCAGCTGGTCAGCCTTGTTTTTGGTGTCAAGGGTTTATGCAAAAAGGGAACTGCATCATGTTCGCGAAGGCACTTTAGGTGGGGGACATGGCGCCGGCGTAGGCAAGCCTGGGATGACGCATCACAGAGCTGTGTGTGTGTGTGTGTGCTTTTGAAGCTTGCATGTTCGCAGTTCAGGCTACACGAGGGGAGAGTGGCTACGTGGTAGCTAGGAGATTTGCATCGCTGTGTGTTAGCCGGAAAGCTGCTATGGCTCAGAAAGTCAGGCCTGCATTTTTCAAAACAGAACCGCCTCCATCCGCATAGGCTCTGGGTAGGCTTTCGCGTGGGCTTCGCGTAGGCTCGAGGCCCATTTCGTGAAGCCTGGTCGTTTCCGGGCGGGCCACTGCTCATGTTAAGCTTCCCGCTTTAGCCTGCAGCTGCCAACTGGTGCACCCCGAGTGCTACACCTGTGCTGAAAGGTTGCGATTCAGGAGCTGGAGCTGTCAAAGCGCATTTCGCGTGTCACAGTCGAACTCACAAGCAGCCGGCCAATGAAGGACTCAAACACCCGCACGTAGGCACCCCTTGCAGTGGCGGAGGCTTTGCGTAGGCACTCGCGTCGGCGTGTGTGTAGTGTGTTGACCGCTAGCACCAAAACAAAAAATGCCCAGCTGTTCGTGATCTTCGAGCAGCATGCTAGCTGCCAGGGCAGTCGCGGAGCTGCACCTGGAAGATGTGCGGATCACGCAATCACACTTGCGATCTTGGTAACAGAGGAGCCCCCCAGGAAGTGTCGAGCTGTTCCAGCGCGCGCAACTTACGACTGCTGGTTTTGCGTGTATCTCCCAAGGTTGCCGCAAGCTACAATAAACCAAAGCCGAAAGGTACAACACATGTTAGCTGTTTTTCCCGTTACCAGGAACCTTTGGGCCAAAGTCCTCGCAGCAACACTTGCGACACATCAGGTCCATTGGCGCAGTCTGGCAGCGGGATGGCAAGGCAACTTGGGAGCATATTGTGCCTGAACCCGGTCTTTTCGGGATGCCCTGTGAATCATGAAAGCCACAGGCTGGTTTGAGATGATTGTCGTGTGCGCTTGGAGTTGTTGGAAAGCGGATATGTGATGGACGGCCGGTCTCATGTTGCACGGAGAGGTTAACATGCACATTTGCTGAAATGGAAGGCTGTCGAAATCGATATTGCTGCCTGCGTGAGTACATGTCATGTGAGCTTGTCTACCATGTCTGAATTGAGAGGGCATCTGGTTCCCTAGCGTTTTTATGAACCATTTGCAGACGGCTTGAGAACTTTTTCAGTGTGGCTGGAGGTCAGCGCCTATATGCTCGATTTGAAATCCAACATGTGGGGTTCGGGGGGGGCCTTTTTGTCAACTTGTCTACCACCCAACCGCATAGGGTGGTCGGGTCCCTAACTTGGCTTAAACTTCCCTTCTTTGGTTTGCTTCACGACATGCAAAGGATTTCATGGATTCGCTGGTCTCATGTCACTAGCTCTAAAAACCCCCCGTTACATCCCAAGCAAGAGTTGTGTCATAACAGGGCCCCGCGTAGGCAAAACCCTGCACGGCGTAAGCCGGCGTAAGCATTTTTTCGGGAAACATGCTGCTTGCGTAAGCTCTCCTTCGTGATTGCTTGGTAGGCTTTGTAAGCATGCTCGGAAGAGTTGTTTCGCCCATGTGTTTATTCGTGGCTTGTGCTTTTGCAACCTAGCCGAGCTTGGCAACTTGCTCGGAGACTTTGGCTGCAGGAAGACGTCTAAGACCGCATGTGCGCGTCGTTAGAAAGCAACAGCAGAGCTTTGGTTGAGAGCTCTTGGGGCTCATGCTAGGTGTTGTTGCAACCCTTTACTGGAACAAACAAGCTTCTGTAACCACTGATTTAGGGAAACTAAAGGGGCATGGGCGCGTAAGCAGGCGCGTAAGGTTTGCGTAAGCTCGCCTAGCTCGGCTGCCCGCTAGCCCTCGCAACGGATGCCGCTACCGCATAATATGTTTCTTGCCCTAAGAACAACAACGCCAAGCCGCTGAAACTCGCGAGGGTAGCTGTTCGTCATCTTCTTCCGCAGAGTCGTCCACGTCATCTTGAACAGTTCTGGCGGCTGCGTGAGGCAAGGAGCCCGCGTAAGCAATTCTTGAGGGGAAACGCTCAAAACGCCGACGCGTAAGCGATGCGTAAGCTTAACATGCTCACTGACTGCCGCGTAAGCTAAAACATGGATCGCGTAAGGAAAGCGCAAGCTCGCGCGTAAGCAACTTGATACGACATAGGTATTCATGGGAGGTTTATAGAGTCGCTCTGTGAGTTGGCATAAATCTCCCGTATTTGGTTTGCTGCTACCAAGTCTTTGCGGGATGAAGAGCACCTAACAATTAACAATGCGGCTGAAGGATTGATGGACACCTTCCCGTGCATGCACACACATGATTGTCGCAGGCGCTTTGCAACCGATTAATTGCTTCATGCTACCCAGGGATGCAATCGGGGCAGGTCTCAAAGCGAACCTTCAACCGTTTCAGCGGCGCTGTTAGGAGGAGGAACGCCTGACATTTGAGGTTTTTGCCAGTTTCAAAGTCAGCCCAAAGAGGGACAGATTTGCTCCGAGTCTTTACGAGATGATCAAACAACACGGGCATTACAAATCTGGTTTGGTTTCTGTTGGCGTCCCTTCAATGACCATTGACCAAAAACTGTGTCTTCCCCTCTCGCATCTTTCGAGTGTGGTTAGCGAGACGCCAACCGCCAGCCTTGGCCCTTTGCATCGCCAGGTCGTGGGTGCCTTGTTGATGGGTTCACCTGGTCCTTCGGGCGAGGCCGGGTGAGCCAGAGGGCTCGTGTGAAGCCAGATTGTTTGAAAACAAGGGCGATTGTGTGTGTGTGTGTTGGTGTTGTAATGGTGTTCTGTGCTTGTGTTGCTGTTTGCAGTTGAGATTGAATTTGAGGATTTTGAGGTCCAGTTTTTGTTTGTGCGTTTGCGTGTGCGTGTGCATGCGTGGGTGCGCGCACGTGTGCGTGTGTCCGTGTGCGAGTGCGAGTGCGTGTGCATGTGCGAGTGCGTGTGCGTGTGCGTGTTGTGCGTGTGCGTGTTGTGCGTGTGCGTGTTGTGCGTGGGCGTGTTGTGCGTGTGCGTGTTGCGCGTGTGCGTGTTGTGCGTGTGCGTGTTGTGCGTGTGCGTGTTGTGCGTGTGCGCGTTGTGCGTGTGCATGTTGTGCGTGTGCGTGTTGTGCGTGTGCCTGTGTCTGTGCGTGTGCGTGTTCGTGTGCGTGTGCGTGTGTGTGTGTGCGTGTGTGCGTGTGCGTGTGTGGGTTTGTGGGTTTGTGAGTTTGTGGGTTTGTGGGTTTGTGGGTTTGTGTGTTTGTGTGTTTGTGTGTTTGTGTTGTGTTTGTTGTGTGTGTGTGTGTGTGTGTGTGTGTGTGTGTGTGTGTGTGTGTGTGTGTGTGTGTGTGTGTGTGTGTGTGTGTGTGTGTGTGTGTGTCTGTGTGTCTGTGTGTTGGTGTGTGTGTGTGTCTGTGTGTTGGTGTGTGTGTCTGTGTGTCTGTGTGTGTGTGTGTGTGTGTGTGTGTGTGTGTGTGTGTGTCTGCGTGCGTAGTTTCGTGATTCATGTTGAGCATCTCAAGTTGAAGGTGGGTTGAAGTTTTGAATTCCATCCAGAGCGTTCGCAAGTCAATCAGCTGGCCTTCAAGACTGCCACAAGGATTCCACCGAGCCAAGCCAGACATGGGAGGTCTACCCGACCACCGGAAATAGCTTGGCAAGCGCAATGGCTATCAGGTATGTACTGCCAACCCGTTGCCCATTCTACGAATCCGAGTCATCCAGCTGCTGACCCCTGAAAATTAGGGGATCCACACAGTAGTGGGTTTTCTTTTGGTTCTCTTTTTGCCTTTCACGCAACTGAAAAAGGATTCCCCAAAAAACACACACATGGTAAGAGAGCAGGCCCACGGCACGGGTGAGCTGACAATATTCTTGGCGGCCTTTTGTCATTTTTGGGGACATGGGGCACTTGTTGAGTTTCACTCGAAAGGAAAAGCACGCCGAAACGCGGACGTTTCGAATCCGACCGGACGACCTGACCGCCGCAACTGCTGTGCCGCTCGTCTTCCACTATCTTTGCCTGAGTCGCAGTTACGTGACGAGAGTCTCTCTTAGGTTGTGCATGAAGAGAGAGCGACTCTGGCACTTATTGCTGGCAAAAAATCGGGAATTGCTATCTATTCTACGCTGCGCCACTAGGTACTCGTATGCCGCATGGTGCCCGTTCCCTTGATTTGAGGGTTCGACTCTTGGCACCAGGTTGGGCAAAATGATTTCAACAACCAGACCCCACCAAACCACTTATCCAACAAACAAGTCCGTGAAAAGGGAAAGACGACTGGTGGTTGTTTAAGTAAAGGCTTGTTCAAACCACGGAGTTGGAGCGAATGGCTTCAGGACCAGGCGAAACTCCGACAGTTGGCCGAGACCTGCCCTGCCGCTGTCGCCCCTGCCGAGGACGCGCTTTCAAAAAGGGCCCGGGTGATCCTCGCGTCGAAAAAGAAGGTCTGAGCAGGTTTAAGTCAGGGTTCCAAAAGGGTTCCGTGGGAAGTTCGGAGCGAGTTTTGGCCAATGCCGACACGGGTTTGTGAGGGCTTGTGAGGGTGAGCCATTTTCCTGGAAATGGGGAAAGCCCAAGGTGCACCACAGGAGCCTAAGAGAGCATGCCTGCCTGAATCCCAAACTTCAAGCCGGTCCGTTTGTGCGGAGATGGACAACTTCCAGGCCGCCCCGAAAACTGCTGTTACCCTCTGTTGCATGTATAAGATTGGAGATGCGAGAAACCTTGTCATTCACGGTGGAACAGGACGTAAGGTCGCCCACGGCCATTTGGAATGCTGACGGAATGATGCATTCCAAGACATACTTCGCTGAGGTGTTAGTGCTTCTTTGATATTGCTGCCTGTTTGAGCTTGGTAAAGCCTGCTTGCAGATCTGTCTGTCTCGGGCAATCCCGGGCAACATCCCTACGTCAGCAAAGTGTGTTTGGTCAGATCCTGCTTTGATATTTCCTCCAGGTCTGCCATTCCCCTCTGTTCTTTTTCCCCATAGAAATCATCCACTGCAGGTGTGGGTTGGTCAGATGAGCTTTGTTTGCGGATGTTTGCGGTATGGCTTCCTTTTCCAACCTTCCGCAGGTTTTTGCGGCCGCCGGGCTGTGAGAGGGCCAGCTGTCTGGATAGATGTGAATGATCGCAAGGGATGAAGATCCCCCCGCCAGAATTGTGCCTTGTTGAAGGCAATCTTACTTTCTGCGCGAAATGAGAAATACAAGCATCCAATTCACCCAAATCAATCAATCCAAAAAGGAACAGAGGGCGCCAGCCATTTTTCACTTTTCGCTCGCGAAGAGCGGGTGCTTCGGATAGAAGACCGCGAACAGCTTCGGTGAGTTGTCGGCTGACGCCCAAAGTGCGGCTGATTCAACTGATTGCCTTGTATGAATCAAGTGATCTAAGTTCTGGCCGAGATCATCAAATACTCTCCGTGTGGACGCGAGAGTTGGTTTCTGTAGCACCAGCACGGGGGGGTGAGTTTTGGGTTCCTTGTCGGGGTTCGGGCGCGCCCTCTCTGTAGCACGGCGTGTGCCAGTCCTGCGACATGATGTTTGCGATTTAAGTTGGGAATCTTTGCAGTACTGATGTGGATGTTAAGCAGCATCAAACGAATCCCTGACTATTGAAGAATCCCTGGCCATCCCTCGAAACAGTTCAACAGTTTTGACCAATGACTCTCATGACCGTGTTGGGCGGATATGGGGTTTCGAGCCACTTTCCGTGATGCCAGAGAATCCCCTTTCAACATGAGAAAGTGGTCATGGGGCTGATCCACTTTTGTAGATAAGGAAGGGGCCTTTCCCACAGCCTCGCTTTGGGCAGATATGTCAATCAAGCCCGCGCAGCCACGCTTGACGTCGGGTCAGTTCTTTGCGCACCGCGCAATGATTGCTTGCGCAGCTGCTCGGAGAGGCTTTGCAAATCGCGCAGCTTACTGCTAGAGCACCGGCACTTTCACGAAAGGCGCGGGTTGCATGCTTCTATTTCACCCAAACCCATCACCCGGAACGCATGGCATGGAAGGCAGGATGCATAAGGCCAGGCAAACAATGACCCAGGACCTGCTTGAGGTGTGGCTGTGATCTGCTTATCGCGTGTGCACTTTCGGAGTTTGCGGGTCAACCACAAACAAAGGAACAAGGCACCCTTTGAAATTGTCCTTGATGCGGTCAACGCATTTTGGTATGGCCTTTTTGCGGAGTACGCTTTTTGGAGTTGGTTCGGGAAGCCAAAAGAGAAATCCCAGCTATTTGAGGGTTCCCCTACGAGACAAAGGGACAACATGCAATGGCCTGTGGCAACGTGCTGGTGCTGAATGCCAGCCAGCCCTTGCAGCAGGGACCTGAGTGTGCAGGGTGCAGGGGTCGGTGGTTGAAAGTTGCGCAAGCGAGGGCGAGGCGAAGTAACGTGTTCAGGCTGTTTGCAGGTATGGCCATAGCTAGATATGAAGCAGCAATATATATCTATATAATATATATATATATATATATAAAATATATTTTTATATATACACAGAAACATACGATATGTAGAAATACGTTACATATATATATATACATATATGTATACACGTATGCACGCAGAAATAGTGAACAAGCTCTTTCCAGGCCGATGAGAAGTCATATGGATGGGAGTTAAGTTAGATGCGTAGTCCGGAGTTGTGGGCGTTGTGTCTGACTTGATGGGCTGGACCAGTGTGCACTTGTAGTTCGCCATTGTGAGATGATGTGAGATGTTTCTTGGATGCTTATTGGATGGAGTTACACGCTGGTGAAATGTTGCTTGGATGTTGGTTAGGCAAAATGTTGCGAAACTCTGGTTACATATGCTGGTACCATGTTGCGTAGATGCTGGTTAAATGCCGGTAGAATGTTAAATCTTGTTTATATGCTGGGGTTTGAATTATCCACTAGCCAGAGGACAAGGGCTGCTATTCATGGAGCGTCGAAGGGCCTCTGTGTCAAGACTCAATGAACAGCAATCAGCCGAGTGGCTACATGATCTACTTGGCGTCGACAAACAACTCCGTGAGCAAAATGAGTCAACCTTCGAATCGTGACATGGCGCGGAACTGGCTAACGAGGCTAACGAGCCGTGACAGCACCGGAGGTTTTTCAACGAAGCCCAAGTGTGCCATTTCCAAACGAGCCCCTTGGACTTGGTGAGAAGTGATTCCCAAAGTTTGACCATGGCTGGCGTCCAAAGCCCCTATTGGCCGTTTCAATTGGTGGTTCTACCTGGCATCCTAACGGTTGTAGCAAGGCCTTAATAAACCTCCATAACTTACAACCACGAGGGAGAGAGAGAGAGAGAGAGAGAGATAAAGATAAAAGCGAGAGAGAGAGAGAGAGAGATAAAAAAAAATAAACAAGAAAAACAAGGTCCATGTTACTGTTTGCAACCTGGCTGTTTCCCGCTCAAATATCCTGGGTGCCCTTTCTACCGCCTTGAACCAAAATGTTTGCCCTTCCAACTACAGTTGTTGCCGTTTAAACCACCAAATGGACCACCAAGGTCTGTGTGGCTAAGCAATGAGTGCTTGTGCCAGGTTCGGACGGGGTGTGGCAACTCGCCAGTCCCAGAACTGAGAATCAAACAACCTTCTTGAGCATTGGTGCTAAGAATCGTGGACTCCTTTCAGTTGGGTTTGGTATTATCTGAATAGCATGCTCGCCAAGCAGCCGGGGGGACGTTTGTTGCCCTTCCCGGTTGGAGCCAGCTGCGTTTGTCAACGCAGGTTCACGTTGGTGCTGCAAGATGAGCTTGTTCAACAGCTCGTACCTTCCAAGTGCAACCTACTTGCATGTTGATGGGGGGTCATTTAGCCAAGAGACCTAAATATGGCTCCTCAGAGACGGCCTTTCATGTGACACACACACACACGCGGGAGGTTGAGACCATGGCAACGCAAAAGGAAGTAGAGACACAGGATGGGCCCTGAAATGGAGGGTTTCAGTTCACTTACTTTCAGATGTTCAGTTTGCAAATCTGAGGTAACTGGCATGCCATACCAGTTCTTGTTTGAGAGAGGCCCATGGTGGATGCACAGGGCTGTCGTCACCTCGCCCATCGCGTTGCGTCGCGGAGATTGAGTGCATCCAAATGGTTGGGAATGCTTGTGCAAGATTGACGCATTCAATTAAGAAGGAATTCTGCACCCCCTGTTCATTCACAGGGTTTGTTGATCCGGGGTTGGCATTCATTTTTCCTTAGCAACGATGTGTTTTTCTTTGCGTGTCTTTGGAGGGTCCCCTTGTAAAGTTGGTTTCGAGGGAAACCAAAGGAAAACCACCCATGAGTGGAGTCCCCGGGTGCCCAGAACCTTTTCTCGGGTTGCCGTGGACAGGGCCACTTCGATTATGCCGTGGTGCCGCGCCGGCACGCAGATGCTCGATGCCTTCAACAGGCGGTCGAAATCTGATTCTTTGAACCAGTCCCTGGCCCCCTGAGAGAAGCGAAAGGGAGGCTGTTTGAGCAACGATGGTCTCCAGCATGTAATAATGGGTTCATCCAACACGGCTTAATATTTAATCAACCTGCTAAGGGGTTCCTTGCAAAGTGATTTGGTTGCCCTCCAGATAGAGACAACCCCTCTAAATAGAGACAACCCAGGGGTTCTACTTCTTCTTGGGTCAACACGCAGCAAGAAGTCGAGCCGGGAGCGATTGCAGCACTTGGGATGCGGATGGCTTGTGAACGCGTATTTGGCATAAATCAGGTGACCCATTGAACGGGATTTAATAAACTAAGTTCCGATGGCTTGCACCAAAGACAATCATGTGTGTAGAATCCGAAAGGAACCATTTGTCCGAACCCAGTTAGGCTGGCCCAAATAAACGTGTAGATCAGATTGTCCCTCTCCGAAAGATTGATATGTTGATCATGCCCAGGTGTCGCGGAATGCCATACACCTGCTTTGCTCATAAACACCAAGAAAACAAAAAACACAAAACAAAACAAAAAAACAAAAAACACAGCCCATCATCTGAAGACAATACTTTGTTGATGCTTTCTTGATGCAAGCTTTCTTGATGCAAGACATCAATAATATGATGAGATGTGTATCAACAGAACATAAGCCTCTTCCAAGATATTCTGCAGGTAACTCCAGGTAACTGGAGATAATTTATCTCATCTCTCATTTCATCTTCTGCAGGTAACATCTCATCACAAGCAATTGCTTATGGCTTGTGCCTACTTGAATCTATTCTGAACAGCTTTACTGTTGCAAGAGCAAGAGCTCTTCAGCAACACGAATAGCTGCAGAGAATCTTATTCCAAAGCTCTTATTCCAAAGCTGAACAGCTGTATGCAGAGAATGTTATTTGCATCTGCAGATATCGTTGCAGGTGCTCATCTTTGCATCTTGTGCTTCTTGAGCTCAAGCAACTAGATTGGAGCTGTGCTCATTGCTCCAGCTCATTATGCGATAAATATGTTTGTGTTAGCTGTCTTTTCTCAAGAGCATGGGCAGAGCCCATGCGTATATTGAAATATTGAACATCCAACTGTAAAAAGAGCTGAGTCTTGCAGCTGAAAGCTGCATAGATCAGCGATATCTTACGTTTCTTATGATTTCATATGCATGGCAAGCTGTGCTTGCCATACTTACGTGTTTCAGAATTGCAACACAACAATAATATTTGTCCCAAACATACATCTGCTTGCAGATTGCTAAGCATACGTCTTCCAAAATATTGCATACGTATGCAAATTGTGTTGAAGATTTGTGCCAAACATCCGTCTTCCAAAAGTTAGCACCCTGAGGTTTATAAACTTGGCATGCTGCGTAAGCATGCCAATTATCCAAAAATACGCTACAGACACACGTTTGCTAAATATTTGTGTCCAACAATAATATTTGTGCAAAATAGTTCTCAATAGGCTGTCTTCTGTGTAGCTTGAAGCTAGCTCATTTTCCAGGTCTGGATGCATCTGAGTCTTCATTGGATCGAAAATGAATCTGTGCTTGCATGTCATCAGCCAAAAAAACACAAAACAAAACGCACCCCAATAAATCTAAGAGGTCACGGGTCTTGATCTTATATGTTTGGTATTTTTTAGTGTTTTTAATGGAAAAACTCAGCCCCCAAGAATCTGAACAACTCAGCCCCAAGGAATCTGAAAAACTCAGCCCCCAGGAATCTGAAAAACTCAGCCCCCATGCCGACCCGCCCTCTATTATTATTATTATTATTAGTAGTAGTAGTACTTTTTTCAATTATTTCCCTAAACTGGCCCCCAGTTAGGGTCACTGGCTGCAACAGGGTTATTCCAACGGATCCAGCTTCTGCTTGCCGCAGGCGCGCTGGAAGCTTCCAGAAGCCATTGATGCGCAGGAGGCTCTGGTGAACTTTGCTGGAGGCCTGGCGGTTGCCCAGCTTTGTGCCATACTCCATGGCATCAACGGGTATGTGCCAAGGAAGGGGCATTCCAAAAGAGAGGCCAATGCCCCCAGCCCTGCGTCATTGATTTCTGTTCCACAATGGTGTCCTTTTGGTTTCCTGTCAAACCAAGCTGAGGGTCTAAGGGCCGGTTTTGACTTGGGGTCGGGCTCAACGTTTGGGACCATCTTACGTCGCTGCCCTTCCAACGATGAGCAAAGGCTAGATACAGATCCTAGGTTCAAGGTTCAATGTGTCAAGTTGTGTGCATGGCAGTTGTTTGCTTTTTGCAGAGCCTAGCGGCATTGAACTGACCACCCGAAGTGGCACGGCAGAAGATGCTTTCCATGCAGAAGATCTATCGCAAAACTGAGAAGACATCATACGGGTGTGTGTTTTTATCATACGGGCGTGTGTTTTTGTTTAAGGGTACCCCTTTTTACGGCAGTTGCAACGGGAAACTGAAAGGACTCCCCCCCATGTTTGGGGAAGCCCCTAGTTTGACACATTCCACCCATTTCGCTAAGAGAGGAGGACAAATGTGAGTTGCCTACAATCAGAGCTCATCCACCATGTTTGAGAACGAGTCTGCATCATTTGATGGGAATGATCTATTGAAGGAGCTTGGTTTACCCAACTCCAGAGGCCCAAGGAGCCCTTTGGCGTCCTTGCGTAGGTGTTCCTAGGGGCCCCCAAAATGGGCTGTTTCCTTCTGGCTTTGCTTGGAAAGCTCTCAATGAACGGCTGGTTGAAATCCGGGATGTCGATAGGCCACGTTCGGCAGCAGCTGGCAGAGTCCATCGTCCGCTGCAAGAAGCGCAGGGGAATCTCGTCTTCGAGATACCCATTGAGTTGGTAAACTTTTCAGAGACATAGCAAGATTTCAGAACATGTCACCACCCCATGGTGCCTTTTTGGAGCTTGGTTTAAAGGGACAGAGGAACCAGAGCTCATTTTGGGAGTTAAAACTGAGGGAACATGGTCCATGGTGGTCCGCGACGGATTGTCTCGCTCCTCTTGCCCCCAGTTTCTTGCGTGAACACCACGCCCCTCCAGGCCATGTCCATGTGCAGCCTCATCCCCTAGCGTGAAGTTTTCAGTTCCACTGTCTGGAGGAAATTGCCAGTGCTGCAGAGCGAAAACTGTTTTTGCAACGCTCAGGTTTGAGATTTGACCTGGCATCCTTTGGCATTCCTCTTTGCAGGACCAGGCTACTGGCCTTTCATTTAGGGCCACATGGGCGTATGTCAAAATAGGGGAACCTCATGGTGGTTTTCCTTTGAGTTTCACTTGAAACCAAAATGAACAGGGTGCCTCAAAGATACACACACACACATTTCCCTGGCTTCTTTGCCGCTCTGCCACTGGCTTACGTTCCGGTCAAGCCTCAGGACGGCTGTTCTGGACGTTGAAGCTGATCGGCTTGGTGAAGGACTTCGCGCGGATCGACCAGGTTCAGCAGGCCGGGCAGAAAGAGGAATCTGGTATCCGTTTTGCTCATTTAGCAAATTCGGCTCAGGTCGCTAAAGATGACCAACCAGGGCTTCGGTTGGTTTCGGGGATGCGCCGAATGGGTCTTTGGAGCAACCCTGTTCGATTGAAAAACATGGCCCTGATGGGTCCCAACTCGCCAAACCTCGCTTACTCCCGGTGGATTTATTTCCGTGATAGATTCATAAAGATTGACGTGCGCAAAACAGATTTTGCTCTGCAGAAGTGCTGAGGAGAGATATCAACTCTCCTCATGAAGGTTTCCGTAGCTCACAAGGGGTCGGACTGCGCGTGTCGGACTTACGGCTTTAAAGCCTGAGACCTGCTTCTTGGCTTGCCGCTCTGGCCAGCGACCGCCAGGCCTTTCTGCTTTGTGTTCCGAGGCCGCAACTTGGAAGCACCTTTCACCTTTGAACCTTTGGTGTTTTGTGAGCTATGTCCCTTGGAAACTCCTGAAATCCGGATTGCTAAATATTGTATTTTGGCCTAAGGAGTTGGCAGACTTGTACTCTGCACATCGAAAGGTCTCCTCCAAATCATAGAGGCTGACTCATATGCTGCCTGATTCGCTTAGTTTGAGGAAGTGTTGCCCAAGAATCGGCTACTCCAAGGAGCTGATTGACATAGCTGCTGCATTCCTGTTCGAATGAGAATGTATTGTCAAGGCTGAGCAAGAGAGTCTCTGGCGTTCGCGAATCTGAGAGCTAAGGTGCAGCGCAGATGCTACAAGCGCCTCCTGGCTGCGACTGTGAGTATTCAATATCCTTTTGTGCACAGCCATTTTGTCATCTCCCCTATGAGTATTTGATATTCATGATTGGTTTCAATAACCTGCCCAATGGCGGCACTGACCTAGATAGCCCCACATGGCCACTTCGATGTGAAGAGCAAAGTGGTAAACTCCCTTGCCTCTTCCAGTGGTTTTGGAGCTAGGGTTGCGCACAAGAGTACAAGAGTGTGTTGGTTTGCTTTGCTTCTCTTAAACAACCAGGGGCCAATGTTCTCCCCACCCACCAAGCTTATACCCGTCCGATCAGGTGTTTGAAACCTGGCAAGTTTCAGCAGGATGCAGCCATCACCCATCCATTTTATCCCAGGTGATACTCGGAATTAGAATCCCCATTTGCAAGTCGACCTGCTGTTGTCTTTTCATCAAGATCCCAAAAGAGTAAAGTGAAAGTAGATGGTGCAATTCCAACCCATTTCGATTTAGTCATCTTCTTTACGTCACCAAGTCAGATCTTCCGCGCCATGACATGTGTATGATATTCAAGTCATCCACTCTTTCAGAGGGATGCGCAGGTTCCAATGACCCGGCTTCGATCGTTCACACCAAAGTACAATCATGTGTTTTTTGTATCCGAAAGAAACCCACTTGTCCATGGTCTCATAGAGGCCAATGGAGTTTGTCTAAAAGTCGAAGCACCGACCCCTGTTGTTGTATTGTTTTGTTAGATGCGGGTCACCTCAGGGTCATCCATGAGCGCATTTGATCGACCCCATCAAGTCAGGCTTGGCTGGCGCCCGCCTTCTTCGGAGCTGATCCGCCCGGGCCAGTAGAGCCATTCAGATGTGGAGGCGTTCAGATCTCTGCCTTTGACGCGTTCCTGAGATGACCCGATTCGGGGGTCCAATACTAGAGGAGATCCGAGTTTGATGGCTGGTTGTGGGGGGTCTATTTTCATCGAGGGAGTATTCCTTGACAGAAGCGAGTTTGTCTAGAGAAGAACTTCACACTTCGAGTTTGGTTTTTGCGAGGCTCTCAGCGTGTAGTACTGCCCCCTCGATTGGCCATCCCCATGGAGGCGGACCCAGGCTGGATTTGCAAGCCCTGGAAAGGATGACCTTGAGTGCTTGGGATGGACATGGTGAAAACAGTTTACATCGGATATGGGGCGCCCTCGCCACGAGTGGACACATCCCGCACTCTCGTTAGAAGAGAAGATGTGTTTTTTGCTACAGGAATGCGGAGCTATGTCCTGGAGGCCACAGGTCAACCAGGCCGCAGCAAGGCACTCAGAAACAGGAGACGGAGTTGTTGAACTGTGATGGCCATCAAAATGTGATGTTTGAATGTTGACAGCCACTGCGAGGAGCCCTATCACAAACATAAAAGGAACCGCGCATGACCTGCCGCTTCCATATGCAAATTATTATTGTGTGCGCAGTAAGCTTGTTTGTGAGCAGAGTGCCTGTTTGTGTTGGCGTAGTGATTGCGGCTGCGGTTGCGATAGTGTTTCAGCTTGTGCTTGCGCATGTGTTTGCGAGCATGTGTGTGCGCGCATGTGTGTGTGTGTGGTGTGGGTGTGGGTGTGGGTGTGGGTGTGGGTGTGGGTGTGGGTGTGGGTGTGGGTGTGGGTGTGTGTGTGTGTGTTTGCTTGTTTGTTTGTTTGTTTGTTTGTTTGTTTGTTTGTTTGTGTGTTTGTGTGTTTGTTTGTTTGTTGGTTTGTTTGTGTTTGTGTGTGTTTGTGTGTGTTTGTGTGTGTTTGTGTGTGTTTGTGTGTGTTTGTGTGTGTTTGTGTGTGTGTGTGTGTGTGTTTGTTTGTTTGTTTGTTTGTTTGTTTGTTTGTTTGTTTGTTTGTTTGTTTGGTTGGTTGTTTGTTTGTTTGTTTGTTTGTTTGTTTGTGTGTGTGTTTGTGTGTGTTTGTGTGTGTGTTTGTGTGTGTTTGTGTGTGTTTGTGTGTGTTTGTGTGTGTTTGTGTGTGTTTGTGTGTGTGTGTTTGTGTGTGTGTGTTTGTGTGTTTGTGCTTGTGTCTGTCTGTGTTTGTGTTTGTGCCTGTGTCTGTGTTTGTTTGTTTGTTTGTGCTTGTGCTTGTGCTTGTGCTTGTGCTTGTGTGCCTGCGTGCGTGTGTGCGTGCGCGTGCGTGCGTGGGTTGGTGCGTGGGTTGGGTGTGTGTGTGTGTGTGAGGTGCGTGCGGGCGGGCGGGCGGCGGCGGGGCGGGGCGGGGCGGTGCGGGGCGGGGCGGGGCGGGGCGGGGCGAGGCGGGGCGGGGCGGCAGGGCGGGGCGGGCTTACATATTATATTATACTTGCATTTGTGCTCGTGTGTGCTCACGCGCATTTTCACGTGCGCTTATATTGGTGTACAATTCCTGGAATCCTTTTGATGTTTCGCCTGGACTCATCCGCTACATCTATATACGTGCTTAGGCGATGCTTGAGGCTTTGCAAGTACAGGAAGATATTACATGCATCCCCAGTATCCGCATTTCCATGTAGGTGTTGATTCTGCAGGTGAGTCGTCGCTGATCCTTTGCCTTTGCTAATTTGTCAGGGTCGGGATTTGCCACCGTGATCCAGAGGCTTGATTCGTTCCAATATATTGAACATTAGGCAGGCAGGTCTGAATCCACGGGCCCACGCAGCGTGATTCTACCTGGCGGCCTGTCCACTTCTTTCACAGCCTGCCTTCAACTCACTTCGCATGATGATGTAGTCGCCTGCACTCTCCATGCATATGGCATACATGTACATAGCAGACATATCCCAGCTTGTATTGCAGCGAGGACGAGCCAAGAAGCACTTCTATTTGCAAAAGGAAGGAAGGGCCACGGAGGGGGCATGCCAAATGCCAAGGCCTCTACTTCATCCAAGACCGCGCAGGAGCAAGCAGCTTGTGTCTGCAGTTGCGGTTCAAACTGGGAGGCCCGGAGGCCCTCCATGCCCTGCGTACTCGAATGGTGCCTTTTGCTTTGTGCCTTTTGCTGTTTGGATGGGAGTTGCCTTTATCCCATGTACTTGATCCAAAACGTGTTGGGTGCCCGTTTTATTTCCACAGCTGGAAGTCTGGGTTTGAGATTGGCTTCGTGAAGGGATGGCAGGCGTGGTAAGCAGCTGAGCAGAGAAGTCAGAAGTTGTTTGGTATGGTCAAACACCGAATTTCGCCGAGGATTTTTTGCATAGGATGAATGAACCCTAGTTGATTTTGATCTGGGGCGTGTCACATTTAAGCGGGAATCCGGATAGCTTTGGCGTAGTAGCACCCCATCCATCCGGTTCCACTTCAAGAAGGCCTCGACATCCCAGGATAAGCCTACGACAAGACTTATTCAAGGGCCACAAAGGCCATACAAACATTTCCTAAGGTTCCGTGAGGAGTTTCTCAACACTTGGTGAGTCCTTTTTGGCATCCCCTTCAAAAGGCGTGCAAGGTGGCACCAGGCTTCAACGCGCTTTCCCGGAATGTTGCGACTGTCACTCAAGAGGAGTTGTGCAGTCCGTGCACCGCTCCACGGAGCTTCACGTGGCCTCGCGCTCCGTGCTTGAGCCCTTCAGCGGCAAAAGACGCACAGGACCCCGGGCGATGGAGGGGGCCTTCGATCGACCCCCCTTCAAACGAGACCATTGCATACCATTGGTGAACATGAAACCCAAAAAGCGGGCCCCCCAAAAGGAGATTCCTCTAAGCATGATGGCTTTTGGGGTTCCATGTTGGTCTTGCAAAGCAGGGCAACAGTTGTTATCCTCATTATGTTATCCTCAGCTGTGTTGATGGAGATTACACAGACCAAACTGGGGAGCGACAAAATGGTGAGACTGGGCTATGAAAGCAGTGTTCGTCTCTTCCACATTTGAGTTGAGAATGAGTTGTCCACATTAAGAGAGTCGGTTATCGGACTAGGTGCTAAGAATACACCACTCCCTCGATAACGATACTGATGCCACAACTCGGCAGCACAATAATCATGGTAGAGCTTTTGTCATGCATTTTGTCTGCATTTTGTGTGTTGGAGTGTTCGATATTTTTGCACTGCACCCACTCGAACTCAGTCAGGCCAAGCCGGATCCGACCTGAGTGCATCCGACCTGAGGGAGCTGAGGAACCAAGCAGTCAAAGCAAACAGGGATCAAGAAGCGTAAAGGCCAAGATCAAGGATTGAAGGATCGTTCCTTTCGATAGAACTCATCCAATGCAGAATTCCTGCTTACGCTTTCTCACCTTGCTCTCTCATCTCATCATTCTCTAGAGGCTGAATGAGCTGCCTTTCTGATGAGAACATGTAGCACGCGAGTGGCGCTTTGTGCGTCATGCGTCGGATCACATTTCCTTATTGGGTGCTGACCTCCAATTCCTCTCAAACCTTCCCAGTTCAGCTTACGCCCTGCTTCTTGCCGAGTGGCCCCTCTATGGTGTACCGAAGCCCCCGGATCCTCTCATCCCTCCGGAACCGGGTGGTTTGGGGATTTGACCCCTTCTTGTTTGAGGGTAAATGAGAAGCCCAGGAGCTGACATCCCAACCCCAACCCCCCCAACCCTTCGGGATGCGCTTTTGGGCGCCAGGCGTGGCGGTGCTCTTCGCTGGCGCCTGGCGCTTCTCGGAGCGCACCTGCGCCTCCATCGCCCGGCATTTGCTGCAGCCGCTGCAGGCGGAGCCCGGGGGACCCGCGACACGACCCAAACGAAGCGCCCGCTCGACGCCAGCGAACGCGATCCCTCGCGGCTTGGGTGGTCACTCCCGGTTGCGTGCATCAAGATGAGACGAAAGTGAAACTGAAGCGATAAATGAAAGCTGGGCTGGGTTAAAGCGAAGTTCAAACTAAACAAAGTGAGGAAGGCCAAAGCCAACTACAGTCTCGTAATTCACGGGTGGAACTAAGAGAAGCACGCAAGACTGTAACGTTGGTCGAAGCAGTGGAGCGACACTTAAATAGAGACAACTAAGAGTATGTGCGGTAAGGCAACACGGAGTACAGGGAACAAAGCCGTTAAACAATACACGGCACAAGAGTAAAAGGCAGAAAAGGGTGAGGTCTCAGCCGTCAACATGAGGCAACGTATTATGTCAAAACAACAGGAACCAGAATACAAATAATGAAGCCGACTTGAATTAAGAAGGGAAAAATAAGAGTGAAAGTAGATTGGATGCAAAGCATCAGAGTATGTGGCTTCAGTGCCAAGTGCAAATCACATGGCCCTGTCAATGAATTCACACATCGTAACATAAAAGGGCACGGATAAGAGCAACAGTTTGGGTCATTCTCAAATTAAGGAAACCCCACACTGGGTGTGTTCCTGTTGGTTTCCCTTTACAAACCAGCCCAGAAGGTATACCGTTTTGAGAAACCCACGTTTGAGCGAAGCAGACAGCAATCCTGTCAAAGCCCAGAATTCGAATTTGCTTGCTACTACAATAGCAATGATGTAATGATTCACAACAAGGGAATCCATTGCAACACAAGCACACAATAGAGTCCGTTCATGACCATCAAGGGTTATGATTTCCCATGGCTCCCCTTGTGAATCAGTATTGGGACTGAAGCAGACTACACCTGCCCAGTGCAATATTCGTCCATTACCATCAAGAGGAAGTGAACGCACCAAGGCCCACAAAAGCAAGGTTCGAACACCAGTGCATCATATAGGCTTGCTGCGCCTTTGGAAGCTTCCAACATCCAGCTGCGCTGAAAATGCTTGTTTGTGTAGTGTGTATAAACTTGTTTGTGAAGGGCTGCTCTCCAAAAGGCTATTGCTGGGTTCTGCTAAGAAATATTATGAAAGGTCGATGCACGGAGCCAATTGGGGAGCTGTATTTCTTCCGGTGTTTCTGGCAACATTTTGTCCCAGCCCTTTTGACAATCGTGCCCAGTGACCTCAACGATTCACTTTGGGACAATGCGACAGTGTTGGCAGTTCATGATGAAATCAAGACGAAAGGAGTAATTAGTGAGTGTGTGTTAAATCTGCAAAGACGAATCAAGGAGAGTATGTTTAAGGTGGTGAGGGGTTGGAAGCTTGCCCAAATTGTGGACTGCCTGCTTGGGTGTTTGCATTTTTCACAGAATGCTGCAGCTTGCTGGCAGGTGGTTTGCGGTGTTTTGCGGATGCTGTTTGGTTTTGAGGTTGCGGCGGTTTGCGCTCCACAGCAAGAAAGCCGCAAACGAACCAATGTTTAAAGCCCTTGGAAGGTCCAGACAGAGCCAAAGCCAGGCCACCTAGATGGGGGGGGTGGTAATCCTGCTTGTAATAGCTGTGTTGTGTTTTAGGGGTACCTTTAATCTGTGGTTTAAAAGGACACCAAAAGGAAGCCAAACAGAAACCAAAAGGACACCAACCATGTTTGGTTTGGTTTCTCAAAAAAACAAATGCAAGACTTGAGGCGGTGTCTTTTGCGGTGAGCAGCGGCCGGGGGCGCCTGGAGGCGCGGAGAAGGCTCAAGCAGCTCTTCGTGTCCTTGAACTTTGCCTGGGCGCCCCGGCCAAGTCGGCGGAGGTTTTGTTTGTGTGTTTTCGTTGGTGTTTCTTGTCTTATTTGATGTCTATTTGTTGAGACCAGACTTTTGGGGAGGTGGTTTTTGAGTGGTTTTTGTGTGGTTGTCGTGTTCTATGTCTTGTTCTTTTGTTTAGTGGGGGGGAAAGCCGGCATTTTGGAGGTCCTTTGTTTCTGTGGGGAAATCAACGGGGCACAGAACCAGCATTTTGCAGGTCCCTCGATTTTGACAGCTGATCAGTCAAATGATTGCCATAATAGCAATGCACGATTTAAACTCTTGTTTGCTCCTCACCGCATTGACCAAGCGTGAAATGTTTGCTCGTTTGCCCTTCAGTTAATTGGGCAGCAGGTACAAGTCTGGCCAAGTGATGAAGGCCAATGAGGGCCCTGTTGGACTTGGCTGATTTAAAGAGAGAGTATGTCACTCAGGCTGTCTCCCAAAGAGCAGGAAATCTGCACGGAGCCGCTTTTCAGGTTCCGCTCCATAAAATCCAATGACTTTGCAGCTCTGCCACAAGAATTGCTCCACTCTGAAGAGTACTCAAACCACAAGGTTAGAAGTTGTGTTTCGGGTTTCCTTAGACTTCGCTTTGCCAGGTACCAATGTTACCAGCCCTTGTGATCCACACCGAGGTTAAGGATCCCAACGTCAAAGAGCTGCGGGCCAGCATTCCGCGCCTCTGCCATGAATTTGGAGCTTTGCGCGATTGCAACCATGGTTGCCACATGTCCTTCGTGGTCACCACACGTTTTCACCGCTCACACAGAGTCCTCGTTTATTTCGCCCAGGCGTCGGCCTGTTTGTCGCGCTGTGAAAAAAGGGTTTTAGGTTGTTGTTGTTTTTACGTTCTTTGATACAAAGAGGAAAAACATGAGTGGGGATGGGGATGCCACTTGGGTATCACAGATCCCACAACCATTGGGCTCCTTGATCGCAACCCCCGGTATGGAAGGGGGACACGTGACCGGGCAGTTGGGGTGGGGATGGTGCCTCGGTTTCGGCAGCTTCAATTGGTTAACTTGTGCCGACGCTTGGGCCCTGATCGACCCTCAGAAGCTGCTCTTTTTTGGGCCCATAAACCAAAAGGCAAAATGGAGGTCAAGAACTGGTGGGGGGTTGGAAGAAACCAAGCGCGATGTTTTCAGATGCTGTTCCAGGTCAACAATCCACAAAGCGAGTGCAATCAGCGCAAGGCAAGCCATCTTAAGCCTGGGTGACATGTGCAACAGAGGAGAAAGTACCAGCTGAACGCTGCTGTATGATCGACAGCCTGGGCAGCTATGGTTTGCTCTCCGACTGCTTTGTGCATGTCATGCGTGGATGGAATGTTGCTCGGTCACATGTGCGCAAACAATTGCAACCAAATGTATATCATGTTGGCTGCAGGTGTTTGAACCAGCCAAGCAATTGCTATAGTGCGATGCATGTGCCAAACAGCCCTTTGGAGGGAGGCTTCCTTCCATGTTCCCATGGAAAGATCATTAGAACTTGAACCGGTCCGACAAGGTTTGCAGCCCCACTCACAGGTTGAACTTGCAATTTATTTCAACGGACTGGAAGTGAATGTCTCAAGTCTTCTTGGGGCCATTGCCTTGCTTTCCACAGCTTGAGGGGGCACTGCTCTGACGATGTGAGGACCGTTACATCTCGAGGTTGAGCTGTTCCAGGGAGTTTCAGTTTGGATCCCCAGGCTTGAGGTACCCTAAACGTGCCGAGGGGCCGATGCGAGAGGGCGCCCTCCTGCCAACTAAAATTTCGAAGACTGCTGTCCTTTTAGAAAGGGAGCCTTTGCACTTCCACGTTTGGTTGAACCCACCCAATAAAGGGTACCCCCAAACAAACACACATATATACATACATATATATAATATAATTCATATATATAATATATATATAACATATGTATATGTATATATATATATGTATGTATGTATGTAATGTATGTATGTAATGTATGTAGGTATGTATGTATGTATGTATGTGTGTAATGTGTGTATGTAATGTATGTATGTATGCAATGTATGCAATGTAT